AAGAATAATGAGAAGAAGACTTTTGTTTCTAAAGCTAGTTTGAATTACCACTGCACAGGCAGAAGGATGTGAGCATCCCACCCTACAGAAGAAAATTGATTTATATATCAATACTTTTTTCATTTGTGTGCTGCACCTTGAATGGGACTGAGATGCTGGCATAATGAATGAAAGAAATGTACTGTATATGAAATTATAGTAGGTAACCTCAGTTGGAAATTTCTCTGATACAACATAAGTGGCATATTTTTTTTAAAAAAAATAGTATTTTCAAACTATAACAGAAAAGAAACATTAATAAAACATTATGAGGTTAGGTGGCCTGCTTATTTTCTAAATTTGTACACATACAAGCTGTTCACGTAAACATATCAAATACTTTAACTTTTCCCTGTCATATCTGACACTAAACTTGCCACTTAGCTCATTTCATTACAACAGTTCATTTGATTCAGATGTTACTTAAAAACTTTCTTTGCAAAACTGCCTACTGCCAATAAGCTGACAATCAGACAATGCTCACTTCTAAAATGAATATAATTTAACTTGTATTATATGGAACTCAAGAAAAGTACAACAAAGGTGCATAAAAACCTTGCACCTCATAAGCAAAGCAATCTGATATGGTAATCTATTATCTGATATATTCTTGATATACTTCTATACTGTTGAATCATTACTGACAAATTAAGGGAAGTGAAATATCTAACTTTTCTCTGTGCTTAAATTCCAATGATATGTTTTTACTACCAAAGAACAATTTAGGTTAAGAAAATTGGGCAGAATAAGACAGTAAACTTTGGTTGCCTGGGCCAGAACCCCAATTCAAATAATGGTTGACATTCATTTTAAAAAAAATGTGGGCAGGGGAAGGGACATTTTAAAACTAATACATCTGGGCTGCAAGTATATGAGTCATTACTAGATGGCATGAAAGAGAAACAGGACAGTTAGCTGCTTGTTGCCATCTAATAATTATCTGGATTTTTACTGCCCAATGTATACTAGCCTTAAAAGATGTAATGATGGTGCTGTTTTGGAAACTGCTCCCAATTGTCTTAACATGTGAATGCACGTGTGGCTGTCTTACTTTCCTGCATGTTTTGAAGCACCTATTTCAGTGACTAAGCCCATTAGATGCTTTTCCTACAGAATATATTCTGAAGCCAGTCATATAGGCCTCTGTTTATCTTTAGATTGCAGACTCTGCTATAGCAAAGAAAAAAACTTCATGAATGTTTGTTTCTTCACTACATGAGAAAAGCAGTTTTCCCTGAACTAATACATTTTCATCTCAAAATCTACTTATTTATGTATACATTTATTGAACAGAATTTGCAAACTGACAAATGATAAAAACTCTTAAGCAGGTTGTATCAATTCAATAATGAAAGTTTCTTAAAAATCACAATGCAAGAAATTTAACATCAAATTAAAACAGAAGATGCTCTCCAATTTCAGTGAAACACACGCACATTTTGTAGATGTTCATCTACAAAAACTTATCAGAAGAACCAAGTCCTAAAGTTGAGTACGGGGGTCGGGGGGGGGGGGGATAGGATTTCACTATAACCAATGCAGAATTTTTGCATAAAATATCCATTAACAGAAATAAGTTTTGTTATTCCTATGTTCAAAATGGCATAGTAAAGTTATTTAATGGTCGTTGGGTTTTAACAAGTAGGGCATCTGTATGGTTGAACAAAACAATGCATGCTATATCATTAATCTGAAAAAAAAATCAGCTTCTAAAGTTATTCTATACATTTCACACAAGAGGATGATTTTGCAGTTAATCTTCTGTTCCTTCTATATGTTCTGTATAATTGATAATAAATATGTAATGGAATAAAATAACATTAAGCAACCTGATGCATCATTCTTGACACATGGTGACTGTCTGGATAAGTCAATTCAGTTTTCTTGGCAATGTCTTTGGAAATGCATGCTGGGTGAGGAATTCTGGGAGTTGAAGTCCACAAGTCATAAAAGGGCCAAGTTTGAAGACTCCTGACCTAAAGTGACTGATTGATATTCTTAGCTCACACTAAAGATAGGTGTCAGATGACAAATGTCTGTAAAAAGAGTTATCATTTCATCTGGGGATCAGTTAATACCCCAGACCTGCCATTGGGGTAGTCAATTCAAAAAAGAAATATATGGTGGAAAACTCTTTGCATAACAATGCTTGGAAGATTTGAACCACTCCATCTAAATCTCCACAATGACTCCAAAAGATCATGTAAGGAAAAGAAGTTAATGACTCTTGTGGACTATAGAAGAGTAATGGAGTAAATAGAGTTCATTGTTTCAATTACCAAGGAAAGAGTTGGCAGCCCACTTATGTTTAACTCTTCTATTAAACATTTTTGCAAAAAAGTAGTTTACAAGCAAGAATACTTATACTATCAAGATCTTGCTCATTTTTAAGCAATCGTATATTTAGATATCCCAAATCTTTAAGACTTTTTTATACTCCATGTATAAAGAAAGGAATTTGTTTGTTTGAACATTTGTATAAATCCTAACATGTTAGTTCCACCCCAGTTTAATACACAGTTACTTAGTTCAGTAAAGGCCTTAAACCCATTCCTTACTCTTATTAGCTGCAGCTGCAAAGGCATTGGCTGAAATGTTCTGTTTCTGCCAAATATTCCAGACCAGTTCATGTGTATCTGATTGCTTGCACCACCCTTTACTTTGCTTACATTCTGATACTGAAAGCAATTATCTTTTGGCAGACAGCAATGAGCATAGGTCAAAGCTATATCTGGAAATATACACCAAATTGATTAACAAGAAACTGCAAATTGGTAAATTTTATAAAGAATATTAGAATAAAATAATTCAAGGGTAAGAATGGTGTGAATCAACATATACAGACTATATTATAGCTTCCTCATAAAAATTACATTTTAAGCAGTATTCTACCAGTTCCTTTTTATGTGCTTCTTCTGTGGTTCCAAGAGACAGACATTTTATAGTATATTCAACTGACCTATCTATGAATTCCATGAAACCTGGACAAAATAACAGAGCTGGAAGGGACCTTTGACGTCTTCTAGTCCAGGGGTCCCCAACCTGTGGGCCAGGGCCCACTACTGGTTTGTGGTCTATTTGCAACTGGGCCATGTGGGTGGTTGGCTGGTGCGCACATGCACAGCCCCACTCACATGAGCATCTCAGGTGCTCAGGGCTTCATATGCACTAGCATTGCACCTGCCCCCCTCCCAAAACCACTCCCTCTTTCCCCCTTTCCCCCTTCCAGGCTGCCAGCCCAGAAAGATTGGAGAACTCTGTTCTATTCCAACCCCCTGCTTAGGCAGAAACCCTACACCATTTCAGACAAATGGTTGTCCAGTTTCTTCTTAAAAACTTCCAATGTTGGAGCTTTCACAACTTCTGGAGACAAGTCGTTCTAACTGTCAGGAAGTTTCTCCTTAGTTCTGGGTTGCTTCTCTCCTTGATTAGTTTCCATCCATTGCTTTTTGTCCTGCCCTCAGGTGCTTTGGAGAATATCTTGACTCTCTCTGCTTTGTGGCAACCCCTGAGATACTGGGAAACTGCTACCATGTCACCCTTAGTCCTTCTTTTCATTAAACCAGACATACCCAATTCTAGCAACCATTCTTTATACATTTTAGCCTCCAGTTCCCTAATCATTTTGTTGCTCTTCTCTGCATTCTTTCTAGAGTCTCAGCATCTTTTTTACATCATGATGACCAAAACTGGATGCAGTATTCCAAGTGTGGTCTTACCACGGCATCTTTATCAGAATGTTCAGGCTTATTCAAATAGGCAGGCAACTAACCCTTAAAACACGGAGCAAAACTTTGATGCTTAGCTATTTTGCAACATTTCAAGGATAGCTGAAAACACTGGTTTATATCTATAAATCAGCACTTTCTCGAAATCCACAAAATGCTAGATTTTTAAAAGCTGTAATGATTCCAGCAGCTGCAGAAAAAGCAATTCAAAGTAAGGATAGTGTGAAAATTCTCACCCCTGCAAACTATTGCCAAGAGCAGTAAACATCAAACATTGATATTTGGAGGGGGGGGGAGATCAGGGATAATGCAATTCTTTTACTTTATGTTTAGCCAAAAAAATCCACTACTCATCCTTGTAAAAATTCAAAGAGCTATTGACATTAAGCTATGTGACCTTGTCAGAAAAGATAATTGCATTTGTCTTACTTACCATCAAGCTAGTTCATAAATAAGCTGAGCTATTTATGCCCATACTGGTAAACAGTATCATTAATTTCCAAATTAATAAAGGGAACAGCAATTCAATAATGGCAAATTTAAGATTTGCTAAATACATTATGTGAAGAGAAAAACGATTGTTTTAATCCAAAGATTCACATTACAGTAACTTTCTAGCCTACAGACTGAGTTTTCTCAAGTTGACTAATTAGGGCAGTTCATTAACAAGAAGAGATAGATTTCCAAGTCTCCCATGAAAAATCAGGATGGAAGCAAAGACTTGTCCCACAGTTTATTTTAGAATAAAGACAATCCATTAGCAAAACCATTTTAGAATATGTATACTGCTTTGTTAGGAGTTGGAGAAAAAGACATATTTCTCAAATAAAGTGAAAAAACATTGAAATTCAGTATCAAAGAGAACCCCTGGCAGATGAATGGTGACAGGTTATTTTTTTTACCATTTTAAAGTTTTCTGGTGCAGTTTTCACAAGGAAGCTGGGAACATTTGTACAGTTTGGATTTTAATCAGACCTGGAAGAGAATTTTATGGCATCTCAAATTTGCTTTTCCTTTAAGACAATAATTACCAGAATGAACATTAGAACACTTTTAAATCATGTTTCCAGTCCTAAGTCAAACAAACCAGTGACAACCATTTTTTGAATGAGCAGATGGAACAATTGAGTTAAATTTACATCCTTTCATTAATTCAAATGAAATCCAGCAATATGCCTCATATGCAAAATATTTGCTGCTTTAAATAATTAAATAATTATCATTTTCTCTTACCTCTTTGTTACCTCTATCTGCTTGTACTAAAGTTCCATTTAAGCAAGGTTCTACATAGTGGAGCTCTTCATTATACTGCAGGGAACAGAAGAGACATTTAATATAAGTGTCTGAAAAATATCATTTAAGATAATGAGAGATAACATGAAAAAAACTAAGAATCTATCATTGAATTCATTGCTTTTACTCACATACATTAAATGTACTACAGATGGCCCTCAACTTTCAACAGTTCATATAGTGACCGTTCAAAGTTTAACAGCACTGAAAAAGTGACCGTTTTTCACACTTATGAGAGTTGTACCATCCCCATGGTCACGTGATCAAAGTTTGGACATTTGGCAACTGGCTCATATTTATGACATTTGCAATGTACCGGGATCATGTGATCTTCTCTATGTAACTCAATTGTCTCTTGAATTGATTACAATTTATGTTGCATTTCTTTCTGGAAATTATTAGTTCTTTGTCTCTGGTGTGCATTTTGTGGGCTTCAGAGGCAGATACTTGGGGTGGTTTTTTACCACTTTTGGTTAGATGTGGAGCACTCATTTTTGTTCCCTCCCTCTATTTATATTTCCCAAGTGTTAGTCTTGTTTGACAGGACCAATCTTATAATCAATACAATAATATACAACTTAAAATTAAATTTAGCTTTAAAAATCATCTCATATAGTTCTTATCGTCTTTATGTGTAGCCTTTGTAATCCAATAAGTTCCACAATATAGGTCTATCATCAACCCCAAGGGGTATTTTGTCACAACTCTTCTGTCCAGGAGTCCAAAGATTTCAATCCAAACAATATTTATAATCCACAGTGTCCAACAACCTTAAACTAAACCCTTTAGTCTCCCCCCCCCCAGTAAAAAAAGAATAACCAAGAGGCAGAAACTCAAAAGTTTAGATTCAGTTAATATTTGTAGTCCAGAATAGTCAGCAAGTTTCAAAACAGTTATATCTTCCATCAAGTAGAGAGTAGTCCAAAATATTTTTTCTCTGTTGCCAGCTGTTCTCTGTTGAACTGAAAGCTTAGCTGAAGGTCAAAGGAGCTGAGAGTTTATTGTGCCAAATGCTCTAGCTGCAATAAGCTTAATGCTGTACCTCCATGTTACCACTAGATGTCCTCAGATGTCCATTTTCCAAAACTTAAAAAAATTATTTTCTCTTTAAAGTTTCTTGAATTTCAGCCCAATATTATTTTCAAAGAGAAAACCTTAACAGATTTCTCAGTTCTGCAATTTGTCAATGCTCTGTCTTGTAGAGCTTCCACTTTAATGTTATATTCTTCTTTGTTTTCCCCCCATAAAGGATTCACCTGCCGCTTTTTTTCCTCTGAAGGGGGAGCAAAAGTCCTCTTCCTTCTCATGCTTGGAGATTTCTTGCTTTGTGGGAGTTTGGCTTATCCAGGAGTCAAATATTGAAGTAGTAGAGGAAGGATTAATAACCTCACCCAGTTCCACGCACGTTGTTTAAAATGCTGAAAATGCTGGTGTTTTCTTTATTCAGTTGTCGATGGCTTGGTCTAGCAACAGAAGTGCAGCTAGCCTTTCCCCTGCTGGTTTGGAGGGCTTTCCTCGGATCAAAGGATCGACCACCATCTTTCCATGATCTACGAGGGTCCCTTTCTTCTTCATCACATCTCCGGCACAACTTTAACCCATTTAGAGCCCCCTGGCAGGACAAAATCAGCTGTGGGAAGCGGAGCCCCGTTTTCCTTCGGCTGCGATACCATGATGCAAACCAGAAGTGCTTACTAGGGATTTGTTAATAAAGAAGTAGAAGAACCAATAAACAGTTCAGCTGGCTCTCTTGTAATATGTATGCTCAGCTAAATTTTCCTAAAAGTATTTTTGGGCTTCCCCATCCTAGCCACAACTCAGTTCAGCAAATAAAAATTAAGCTTTGTAGTTTAAAATTTCAAAAATAAAATTTAAAATGGGGAAATTTTAAAACATGATTTATTAATGCAAACATATCCAAGTTCTGCTCTTGTTCCCTGCAAAGGAAGGGGTTCTGTTAAAGACTCATATGTGGCCTTCACCACCAAAAGTCTGTATACCATAACTTAGAGCAATATCTGAACATGGCATAGAATGGATAACTTTCACAATTGCCATTGTAATGAGAAAAGAATTTTCTATTTATCTTGAAAAATCAATTTTATTTCTTTGTCTCTATTCAATATGTTTATTTATTTAAAGATAAGTTAATAGAACAATCTTTCAAGCATCAATTTGTTTGCTTACATCCTTTCTTAGATATGACATGAAAGCAACAGAATTAATGTTCATAATTAGTAAATAAAAACACCAAACTATTTAGCCCAAATTCCACTTGCTATCTCCCACAGGAACCAAAGGAACCTTAAACTGTTCATTAATGAGTAGCAGGGAGAGAGAATTTGCAAGGGCGCAAGATTGCACTCTTACTATAAGCCATACAACCTGTAAAGATTCTTGGCTTACATTTCTTTGGCTTTCTCTTCTAATAAGCAATGCCCCTGTCTGGTTGATTTTTGAAAACCATTAATTACATAGGCAAGAGCAATTAATTTGCCCTGTGTTGAATATACATTTCTGTGTGCATGTGCCTTTAAGTCTGCCTTAACTCTTGATGACTACATGATTCCATAGAGTTTTCTTGGCAACATATTTTTTTAAAGGTTTGTCAATGCCATCTTCCTAGGGCTGAAAGAAAGTGACTGGTTCAAAGGCAGGATTAAAACTTCAATCTCGTTCTTTCTAGGCAAGGTCATTTATCCATTAATCCAAACTAACTCTCTCTCAAACATTACTGAATACTAATCTATTCCTTTTGGGGGAGGATGTGTTATTTTTATATGCTGTAAGTCCATTTACTTCAATAAAATTTACCGTATATGCTGGCGTATTAGGCGACCCGGCATATAAGACGACCCCCGTCTTTATAGCCAGGCCCATTCCTAGAACGTCGTCTTATACCCGGAAACTACCAGTATTTCCGGCGTATAAGACGACTTGACGTATAAGACGACCCCCGTCTTTGGCGCCGATTTCAGCGCTCGTGGAAGTCATCTTATACGCCGGCATTTACGGTATTTCAAAACAAGACTTAGTTCCAAAATGATCTCTTGTAGAGGGCTAATGTATGAACACATTTTAGTCTTGATAGACCCTGTGCCCATTCAGCTCCCATATAATATAATTCCTCTCTGTGCATTCTCTATGAAGATAACATTTGTTCTCAGAACACTAATAAATGCTCCTCATTCTTGAAATAATGAAAACAATGTTCTATATTTATACTATTTAAAATATTTTATAGCTGCAATTAAGTGATCATAGCCACAATTCCCAGCAGAGTATGCTCAAGTGAATGTTCAGAGGCACAAATTTCTCAAAATTCTTTTTTAGTCAAGTCTAACAGCATTTGGGAGGAAATGACACATTTGTTCTTCTTGCACCAATCATTCAAATTGATTTTTGTTTTAAGATTGTTTAAGGAGTAATCTGTGAATTCTGTTGAGCCAGTTGAAAATATATAACATTCAAAATGAAAAATCCAGGTCTGAATACAGTTTAAGCCAATCTGATATTGTATCCTTAATGAAAATGAAAATTTTGAACACTAACATTTTTCATGGCACTGTTTACCATTCATTTTTTTTTATTTTTTTAAGCTAAAATTAATTAGGACTACATTTTCTTCTCCTGATGTGGCATGGTCTGTCTGTCTGTCTATCTGTTTAGTTTACCTACCTATCTATTCACTATAAGAATGGGATTTTTTTAATGCAGCTTATAGCTGCTCCATGTTCAACTCATAACATGTCCCCTTCCCTAAGGTGTTCAATGTCAGAAGCAATTTCAAAGCTGAAAGGAGAGAGTTCCAGTGTCAGTTTTCTCCTTGCAAGAAAGTCCTCTCTCTTTGTCACAACTGTGTTGTATGTCCCTCAAGCTATCAGTTTCACTATACCACTAGTGACTAGTTTTCATGTTTTAGGAAGGACTTTTCTTTCTCAATACGTCTTAGAGGTACCAAGAATTGAATCGGAAACCTTCTCTCTGACAGGAATGTACTATTAATGAATTACAACCATTCTCTAGTAATTCATTTCTGAAATAAGATGACAATTCATACCCATCTTCTTTTAGCTTGGCAACTTAGATAAATCCTATACAATATAAATCATTATAAGCTGAGCTAAAATTATGCCTCTCATTCTTCCATATTATTTTATTTTACTGCATTTTATTTGTTCGTTTGTTTATTCAATTTCTTATAGTTGCCCACCTCAAGCAAGTGACTCTGGCCAGAAAACAATCATTTATTGCACACAAACCCAATAATAATCGATAGACGTTTTTCTTCTGCACTCATTTTTCTTCTCAAATCTTTTCTATGAAAAGCTTAAATTAAATTTAGAAGAATTCTGAAATTATTTTTCATTTAAGAGATAGCCTACTTTTCACTAAAAACATTTTCCCCAGGCAGAATTAGCACTCTGTTTTATGATAACATTGTTAATTTAATGCTTCACTTAGAATCTGACTTCAAAGAAACATTTCTTTTTTCTCACTGCAGACATTTCAGTTCATGCACTGCCAATCTGATCTTATATTTATCTTAAACTACAGAAAAGCAAATGCATAATTTAATAGTTCCTTTGGTAATGCAATCATCTACAACAGTCCATCAATTTTATATAGCTTTTGCAATAAGTAATCCCTGAAAGACACACCTCTTTTTTGTTGTATTATCTTTTTACGGTTATTTTATGCACTGGACTTTTTGGTGACTTTATTCATGGATCTACTTAAAAACAAAATTATTGGCGGATGAAATGAAATAAATCCGGTATACATAAGACAACAGAACTATTTAACAATAGGACTGAAATAGTGTTCAATACCAACTCTGTACTTAATTGAATTTATAATTGTGACCATATTCCTCTTCCTTTATAGTTAATGAGAATTAATGAGAACTAGACAACATGTGACCTGTTGGGTCATTGTTTCAAAGATATGTCCTTATCTAAACAAAGAAAGAGAATGACCACATTTAGGCAAAACTGTTGTGGGAACAGGAGCAACTTCTAACTTTCTGCTAGTTTCCCTGTTGAGTTTCCTTGTGGGAAACTGGCAAGAAGTATCACAAATCTATCTTTCCTTCCTTCCTTTCCCCTCTCCTTCTCTCCTTGGTGGGGGAGAAAGTGAGGGCACATGAATGGACAGCATAGGTTGGGAAGAGGGCCTGGGACTGTATGAGAGGTACTATGCAGGTCAGAGAGGGCATACAGAGATGCAGTGTCAGTCAAGACATGGTGGAGTGGAGTGAATTGGGAGAGTGGCTTAATCACAAAAGATGCTGGTCAGGAATGGTGCATGACTGGTGGTGTGAGTCAGGAAGGGTGCATGTGGAAAATGAAAGAGGTGCCACATCTTTCAGGGAAGGTATCCAGGAGTAGCACAGGTCAGGCAAGATATATAGGGATGCACAAGAGGCATGTGGGTGTGGGTTGGAGAAGACATGCAGTGAAGTAACACAGGTTGAGGAAGCATGGGCCAGGAAAAGCATGCAGGGATTCCTTCCTCCCTCCCTTCCTCCTTCCTTCCTTCCTTCCTTCCTTATTTCCTTCCTTCCTTCCCTTCCCTTTTCAGGAGACAAGTAAATGGCTGCTGCTAGGTGAGGGAAGGAATAAGGAATTGCAAAATAAGCTGGGAGATTATCACAAAATGCTGAAAATGAAGATCATGTGACCACAGCAAAAACACAATAGCAGCCAATAGCATTGAAGCAGGGACAACTTTCACAACTTTCCCAAATTTTATTTCCTCAGGAATCATGGGTCCCAGATTTTGGACAAATTCAGTAAGTTAAACCATTTAAGGTACTTTGGTTCAAAAAGTGTTGCCATATGATATGACAATGAGAATTTTAGTAGTACAGTATATAGATTATATAATGTACAGTTCTCAAAAATGTAACATAAAAAGTGACCCCCAAGAGAGTGGTTAATAAATGTATGTGTATACAGATAATTCTTGTTGAAAGACAACTCATTCAGCAACTATTCAGAGTTACAATGGTGCTGAACAATGGATTTTTACAATGCCGCCACTGCAGTGTCCCCATAGTCATGTAATTGCAATTTGGGCACTTGGCAGCTGGCTTACAATTTCATGATCCTGCAATCCCATGACTGCCATTCATATTTTTCTTTGCCAGCTTCCTACAAGTATAGTCAATGGAGAAGACAGCAATCATGTGACTACATGCCACTTCAACTGTGCAGGATTTGCCTAATGGAGGTAACTGGGACTACTGCAACTGCTGTCATAAATGCAAACATGTAATGTCACACTTACTATAGTATCTCATAGTGACAAAGTTGCTGGTCTCAAATATTCACCTGTATAGGTAGTATAATGAGGACTATCTATATTTGAAGAGAGACAGAAAGTGCTCTGAAGAAATCAAATGAATTTCATACAGAAATGTCAAAATCAATTCCATTAAACCAAGATTTGTTTCCAAACCTACACCACACCTTTGTCTATAAGTTCCTATACAGATGTGCAAAAATGTCTTCTCTGCACTATTAAATAATCAAATTTTCACTATAGTTTTGCTTCTAATATTAATTTGGATATGCTGATAACCACTCTAAACTGTTTTTGATAAAGCCCCCAGAATGTTTTGGTTGGCAGCACTTTGTATTATTAAGGCATGTGTACCAAGATGCCAATGTAGCTGGGTTTAGGGGTAAACCAATCATGGTTTCTTAAATGAAGATTATATTTGAACTGATGTCTATCTACAACATGTAATTACTTTATGATTGAACATGAAAGATCTGGAACCAGTTTGCAAATGGATTTCAGTGATTGCCTATGATAGAAATTGGAATTGTTCGTCCACCTGAACTCACAGACAATTGATAGACTGTTGTTAGAACCAAAACAGGATGCAGTGGATTGAGAAATTTATTTCAGACATAACGTAATTTCCTAAATTGTGAACTTCCACTAATAAAAATATAATTATTAACTATGGATGAATAACGGCACTATAATGATATATATGACATAGATTTTAATGTTTCCTATCTGAGAAAATAGATGTGATCTACAGGTTTCTGAAAGCAAAGTTCCAGTAATTATAGAGTAGTAAGATTATACACATACATACATACATACATACATACATACATACATACATACATATAAATAACAGCTTATTATTTCTAAATAATTGGATTTTTAAGGTACCTCATAAAATAATATAATGTGCATAATCGATTTAAAATTGTAGAAGCATATTAAGAATGTTTCATTGTGGACCAAGAATTAAAACCTATTTTAATAAGAACTTCCAATCTAAACAAATAATTCAAAAAAGCATTATGAAAATATATGTTGCTTTTTAATTTTTTAGAATTTGTTTCACAGCAATCCAAAATACTGTGGCCATAAGATTATCCCTCATAAACAGAACTGAAGATTCCAGCCTTGGAGGATATTTGATGTTCAATTTGTCCTTTGACCTTCTCGGTCTCTGTGACCAAGAACTGATGGAAGTGGAACTGCACAAACTCAGGTGAGGATTCTCATAAATGATCTCCGGTTTCCTTGGTGAATTAAATTTGCTAACATACTTGTTTATTTATCTGTTAAGCTCCAGGCAAAGACATATTTATTCTTCCAACTTCGAAATATTTTGATATATAAATTGCATGCTGTATATTAAATCTGTGTGCTTTTCCGTTGCATTTTAATTATTGTTTTGGTGGAAACTATAAGCTACTCTGAGGATAAGGGTATTTTCAAGGATGTGCTTGTGTGTGTATAAAGAAACCCAGAACAACATCAATAATAAAAGAACAATTTAATAAGAAAGAAAATATAGAGATACTCACAGCAATTATATTAAAAAAGTCATCATCTCCAAGGGTATCCAAAATGGAAGATACTGTTTGTTTTGCAATAGTCAAGCGAAGTCCTTTCATACTGCCACTAACATCAACTAAAATGACAACATCTTTAGGAGAAGTGGCTGCCTGAATATACCTGGATGGCAGGAGAAGAGGAATAGGGAAGAATGTAAATTGAATTCATAAGGCATCCACATGCAGGGCCACTGCTAACCAATACAGAACCTTTGTGCAAATTAGGAAAAGGCACCTATGCAATGGAAGAAGGGAGGAGTCCATGTGAGCAACCTTTCTCCTGTTACAAGTCAGCTAGGCCTGTTTGTCAAGATGACTTGGGGTTCTCCCACCTTTCTTTTGCCCAGAAACACAAGTGTACTGACTCCCTGCCCTTTACTAGTTGTGGCATCCTGGTACAGGGCATAGCTTGAACAATCACACACAGTGGCCCTTTCTACCAGCTTAACTTTTCTGAAATTCATAAAAACCAATCATAACCTACCATTTTCTATTTCTGCAGTCAAACGCAATGACTCCATTTTCATCTGGCTCCCATTTAATTCCTGGAGGAGATAACAGTATTACACCATTAGAATTCCCAATGTATGTTTTCTTCCTTGAAACTGTTTTTTTTAAATTATTCACCCAATTGGCAAGCACATTCGAAAGTAAACCTCGTTGTCTTCAAGGATATTTAATCTTAGTCACCAGAGCTGTCTTTCCATCCTTCTCCAACAACTCTGATACTGATGTTTCCAAGATTACTTAAATCCTTCCAGGGCAAGAGAGAAATCACTCCTTTCATCACCCCCCACCCACCCATTTGTTGACAAATACATCTTTATTAGTTTCAGAACTAACACTATATACAGATTAAATCAAAAGCCAGAAAGCCTGCCTAGGACCTGGCATTTAGCCCCTAACATGTCTTTTTCCCAGACAGAGACCCAAGACTTCAAGCTGGTTCTAAAACTCTCTTCTGGATTTTAGCTTGGGACATTTAACCACCATCCCATACTGAAGCTCATGAAAAACTAAATATTTCACAGATAGCATTATAACATGTTAAAACTGTGTTATACTAATCATTCTAGAGCATGATGGAAAAATCAGTACAATCAAATCAAATCGATGCTTATTATCATGTCTGCTGGCAATAACCAATTTTGGTCAAAATGTTTTAAAACAAGAACAAATACATAACAGTTTTTAATGATGTTATGGCTTTACTCTCCATCAAGGAAGCTAGAAAATAACACAACACAATACATCAATTCATTTCTTATCAGTTGTTATAGTTATTCTACCATTGTGAAAAGTATGTCTTAAGCTAGATCAATATTGTTTAAAAGTGTAAGAAACATTATTTGTTGAAAAAATAATACAGTGGCAAGATATAAAATATTATTTAAAGACTATTTTATTCACATTTAAGCTTCAATAAGCACACAACTCCTAATAGACTATCGCTGTGTATATAAAGGTATTTTTTTGGGACAGTAATAATAAATACATACATTTAAAATGTTATATCATTTCATAAAATTCTATTCACAAACTATGTGCGAATTATTGTTTTGTGTGCTATTTCCTTTCTGATTTTTTATACTTAAATTTCTCTTTATTCTCATTGTATAGTTGATCACTGTATTTTTAATCAAAATTTAAAATAGGATAAGAATCAGAATATTTTTTTCTAGCTATGATACAAGCAGAATTCAATGCTTTACCCTAAGAAAGGTAGCCTAGGAGCATCAATCATATGAAATATTTTTATACTTGACTGGATCATATCCATTGCTAATAATTATTATTTATATAGTATTTGTATAGTATTTCAACATGCAGAGTATTGTATCTATTTATTTCATTTGTTCTCCTTAAATTATGAACAAGCCTATTTATACTATAGTAATGTATTAGTAATTGTGCTAAAATACAATGATTGTCCATGTTTTCAACTTAAAAGATTGAGTTCCCATTCCAAGAAATCTAGGTATTTACAGGACATACAGTATATTATTCTGAATTAAAGCAAAACAATCTTTTGCTAATATGTCCTAAATTTATGAAATTCCCTCCTTTGAAATTACTACTAGAAGCAGAAGGAGGTAAAAGTTACATTCAAGCTACTTATGGATAGATTTCTTCCACCCATATTACAATATTCTCAGGCTGTCAAAGCTTCCAGCAGAAATCAGCAGAAGGGGGAATCGGAGACTCATTTAACTAGTTAGCAAAATCATTATTTGGCAGCAGAGAAGAAATGGCCTGGTAACATTTAAGTTTATCATGTATGAAAACTAGGAAACAGTTAAGCCACTCTAAAATGCTCCCTTTAAAATATTATTTTTAGTTATGAGCTTTTATTGTCACAGCTGTGGAGTCAGCACTACTGCAGCCTTAAGTCATGTTTTCTAAACTCCTAAGCAAAATTAAAACTTCCTTTCTATTAAACATTCAAATACTGTAGCAGCAGGGGATCTGTCCTAAGGGTTTCAGCTGTTTCCACCAAGAAAAATAAGGAAGTTTGCTGCTTCAGACAAACTTGGTAGTAAAAGAAACAAAAAGTCAAAAAAGGGCCACTGAAAGACTGATATTAAAATTCCTTGAGTGGTTGAAGATGAGTTTGTTCACCCTTTTCCAAACAGAACTGATTTATTATAATGGTGAAATACTTCCTCCAATGCTGCCTATATTGCTCGTGCCATAAGGAGTTGACTAATGTTGCTCTTTTAGGAACAGCAAATAAAAACATGTAATAAAAGGAGGACAGAAAAGAAGCACAGGCATTTTTTGTCTTACCTGGATACTGCCTGAAAAATCCCTTTGCGCTTCCAAAGTATTGCCATATAAGGGAAGGGTCGTGGCCAAAGTTGTCAACAAACACTTTGTTCAATGATTCGGACCAGTAAACTCCATTCACAATTGCAGGATCTGAAAAAAGAAAAGAAAAAGAATCAGAAGTTCTAGTGTAAGTTAGTTCTGGACATTAGATGTTTTAAACCAGGATCTGAAAGCACTTTGTAAGGCATGTCATAGATTTCAAATGATACCAAAAAGCAAAAGAAGAATAGAATAGAATAGAATAGAATAGAATAGAATAGAATAGAATAGAATAGAATAGAATAATAACTTTATTGTCATTTTGAATGTACACTCATCGGCATATATTAAAATGAAATTTCATTGCATACAGCTCTCAAAAGGTCACCACTTCCAATATATACTATATAAATATGATAAAAATAAATAAATAAATAAATTATGCATATACCCACATATGTTATATGACACAGAGAAACAACACAGTCTAGTTCAAGAAAAACAAATCTGGCGAGTTAACCATAGGGAACAAAGCTATTACAGAATTGGGTAGTCCTGCTAGAAATACTTCGAAACCTCCTCCCTGAGGAAAGCAACAGAAACAGACCATAAAGTGGGTGTGTGGGGTCTCTAACAATGCTTTGAGCTCTAAGCACATAGCGCTTATAAGCAGCATCCTGAATACCAGGGAGCGAGCCTCCTATGATCTTCTTGGCAGTCCTTACCAATCTCTGTATGGACATTCTACCTGAGGCACTGCTGCCACCAAACCAGACAATGATGCAGTTTGTCAGATAGTCATCTTCAGAATGAATGCAATGAGTATTTCTTTTGAGGGACTTCTCTGAATCCATCTCTCCCTTCACCTTCTGGAAAGATTTTTAATCTTATGGTTTTTAATACTGCCTTCCCATTTTTGTCATTCTACTCAGGCTTTTATTGAGACCATTTCTTTACTGGTGGTTTATTGCCTTGACATTGTTGGTGATATGAAGACTCTTCATTCAGCAATGACTGAATGATGCCACTAAACTGCTTATGTGAAAATGCTCTGAAATTACTATTGTGAATTATACGTACAGTATTTTGATTTTCTTGTAAACCATTCAGAGATTTTTACTGCAATGAAGAAATATAACTTTATTGGGAGGAGAGTTAACTTATTATTTCTATTTTATTAGTTGCTAACTCCATCAGTAAAAGGAATTTTATCCTGGATTCCACTGGAAGCAAATTTCAGTATTACTTTCCACTGAAATTCATGAACGGATGAATACTAACAGAAATGTCTTTTCCTTAAAATAATCAATAATGACTGAGGATTACAATGGAACTGGAGTTACTTCACTAAAAGAATGAGCAGGCTAGAGCATTTCTTTTTTTCCTTTTCTGAAAAACATCCTGCACACTTATTGAGGTAAGAGCGTATTTTCGACCACACAGTGCCTAGAATGTCTTTGTGACAATACCATCTTGACCTAAATCCCATAACATTGACATTTCAGGACCTTGTAATTTTCATTACCAGCTCATTAATTCTAGCCCTATCTTCTCAAACAAATATATGAAAGAGGCCTCAGATGCATCAAATTCTGGTTGCCCATGGAGTTACAAAACTCTTACAACCCTACATTGGCACAATTGATCAAATGGCAATTTTATCTATCCATGTTATAAGCACAGAAGAAACCTGATTCTCCTCTGTATCAGAGGTAATCTTTAATATTAAGGAGCAGAGAAAGGTGGCCTGCCCCATCATTTGATGCAGTAGCTTCATTGACCTGTAAACTAATGGCTGATTTCAAATTATGTAAGTTTAGTGAGATAATTTTAATGAAGTGCAAAGAGGTGAATTGTTTTGTGTGAGAACATTCACCAGGGAAACATTGAGGGTGGGAGACACAAGGAAATGTCTCAGGTGCCTACCTTTGAACTAAACTTTCATCTAAATATTTATATTTACAAGCACGTGTTGCACATAAAGACTATAAGGACATATTTCTCTTGGAGAGAAATGCCTTCATAAATAAGAGAGGACATGAAAAATTGAAGCTGCCAATACTTGGGACATCAAGGCAGAATCATACATGCATCCCAACCATAGTTCTGATGTCTCCATACATTTCTAATATGGTTAACAGGATATGTATCATTAATTCAGAAGGAAAAAGAAAAAAAAACTACTGATGTTTACTGTCTGAGGCATAACTGCCAAATTTCTAATCTTATGCACAAATGACACTTTTATATACACAGTTCATGTATCTATCTTCCCACATATGTTCTACCAGCACTGGAAGCAGATATTTGATATATCAACAACAATTCCAGATGTTCTACAGTTAGGAGCTAATCTTTCTGCTCTTCATTTCAGAGTAGTTAAAATCCCGTGCCAAAAACTGAACAGTATGGCACTGTTCTGGTTGATGCAAAGGCCAGGAAGAGCTACTGTGACCACTGGTCTCCTGCCAAATAAAACATGGAGAAAGACAAGTTCCAAACCTCTACATGCTGAGAATTGTTGTATATTTTCCTTCATCCTTCTGTTAGAAAATATGTGCAAACTCACAAAATGAATCCCCAACACACGGTTTTATCTCCCCAACCTCTCATAAGTTATCAAATATAAATAGGCAAGGGCTTTTAAAAATATTATCACTGACACATGGAAGAGCTATTCAACTATCTACAGTTTTAGCTCTCTGCCTCCATTCGTCTGTAGCCATCACAATAAAGAAAACTTCAGCCGGACATAATTTTGACTTTTATGACCTTAGTTTAACAGGCCCAACTTGACTTAATATAACCATGCCAAATTCAAATCCAAACCATGCCAAATTCGTACACAGAAGATCCACCTTCACACTGAATATGGGCAATGTCTATGTCCCTTGACAACCTTAAGACTTATGATATGCCTTCCCTTTTCATGGATCCTGAATGCCTCCAGATATTTAATAATGCTTAATGTTAATATTTTATGATTTAGAATATGGAGTGAATTTCAACTGTGTTGTGAATTTAATGATGACTGATTAACAAATCATGTTTAGTTATATTGTGTTGTGCTTATATAGCAAAATCTCCTTGCTATAAAATCCCTCAAAGAAATATTGAAGAATATGTTTAAGGATTTGATTGTCCTTGCTATAATCTTCTATTAACTACTTTTGAAAAAGTTATCTTTATTTTGTAAAGTGAAAATATAAATTATTAGAAAAGGGGCAAGCATGAAAAAGAAAAACTATCCTTATCCTTCCATTTGTTATATTCCAGACTCATTAACTTGAGCTTCTCTAGTTGTTCTTAAAAGTGATCAGGAAATACATTTTCCACAGAGGTCTACCAACAACAACCTTTCAAATAAATAAGGTGACAAACTGCCCTCCTTTAGGGAGGACAGTCCACCTTTTGTGAGTTTTGTCCTCCCTCGAAAAGTGTCCTCCTACATGTCCTCCTTTTCGATATTTGAAGACTAATCTGCAGGGCTCTTTTTTCTCATAGAATGCTCAGAACGGCATTCTGGCACCTTTTTTTGATTGTTTTTTTTCAACTTTTGCATGAGCTGTGCTACTCCCCCTATTGGCTTTCAAAAGCCAATAGAAATTGCTGCTGAGCGCGCCAAAACACCTGGCCAGCAAACTTTGCACATGTAAGTTGTCTGCAGCTAAGGCGAATTGGCAGGAACTTTGCACCCCTCCCTGCTACCCAACTACACCATCTTCTAGTTAGTCCCAAAGATACCTGGAGGAGACTGGAGCAGTGAGGCCATGGTAACTTTCTCTTGATCTTTGGCCCTGCTAGGGCAATAATGGCTGCCGGCGCAAGAAGCAGGGGCGGCGGGGCTGCTGTGGGTGGGGGGGTGAGGGGCAGCGGTGGCTGGCTGCCCGCCGTGCTGTGGGAGCCGCGGGGCCTGCTCTACACGGGGTTGAGCAGGGTGGGCGGTGGTGCTGGCAGGGTGGTTGCAGGTGAGGTGTGTTGACAGCAGGCTGCCCCCCGGGGCCGGAACCAGCACAGCTGGTGCTTTGGGAGCTGCGGGACCCGCTCTACACAGCGGGGCAGCTGTGCTGGCGAAGCGGCTGCGGGCGAGGGTGCGGCATGTGAGCATAATTACAATATAAAATGTTATTGTTACAAATGTTTTTATTATGCATTTATCATATTATAGTGTATTCCGTATTATTGTTGCAATGAATAAAATGTTTCTTTTATTTACGATATTTTTTTCTTCAATTTATTTGTGCCCTCCTTTTCATTGTAAAAAAGTTGGTCACCTTAAAATAAAATTAGATTTTTTTCTATCTTTTTGGTAAGGCACATGTTACAATCTACAATTTGTTTCACTGCTATGTCTGTTGCTGTACTATTAATATTTAATGAAACAGGACTTGTGGACAAGCAGGTACACTGTCAGGAATCTGAAATATAATTCCCAAAGAATAGTTCAAAGGCATGTAGCAATTAAATATCTGTCATAAATATTATTGGCTCTCAGAAGCAGAGGTAAAAGAAATGTTGCAGATGTTGAACTTAGCCTGAAATAAAACAATTGAGGAATGTTCAGAATGAAAATACTTTTCAACTTATGTTCAATGTAGGGCAGAAATCACATACCTGCAACTTTACAAAATTACAAAAGGCAGTGTGTGAAAACAAAATAATGTAAATAATGCAGTCTCAGTTCAGGTAAGTTTGATGTGCACAAACTTTATTTTGTCTATCTAAGTACAGTCCTTTCTAATTATGGGAAATAGTTTCATTTTATTCTACATTTTTCAAGCTTTACTCGGAGTATTCTAGGATCTACGCTTTAAAAAAAAATTGATCAATGGCAGTTTCACTAAACTTCCTCAGAAAAAAGAAGAGACGTTGATAAAGGAACTAGAAACTAAGCCCTATCATAAGAAACTAAAAGAAAAAGGAATGTTTCTTTGTAATTAGAAGACCAAGAGGGTATAAGATATACTGTAACTTCTCAGTCATGTGAAAGGATTTATGTAGAAAAAGTCGAACTTCTTTTTTTTCTTCTTTTCAATACTCATTGTTCCAAAGTACAGGCTATGGGTAGAGAGATTCCGACTGAATATTAGAAATGATTTCTTAACAGTAAA